ATGAAGCCAGAAAATCGGGACTTTTTAAAAACGGCCCGGGACAAGGGACAAATTGTTATAAAGCGTGATCATCCCGCTGAAATTGGGACGTCTGGTCACCTTAGGGAAGGGGTGCCAGAAAAAGCAGCAGCTAACGCGAGAAGAGGCGGTTGGCCGGGAACGGCAGCGAATTTTGGAGAGGAGTCCCGGCGGTCTTGGCCTTCCCAGCCAGGGGAGGGGGTGTGTGTCGGGCTCCGCGTTCAGCGGCTGTGGAGGGAAGGGAGTGGCTGGAAGGAGCTTCTCCGCGCTTTAGGCGGAGATCGCACGGATGAAGCCGCGGAAAGACCTTCCTGGAAGATCCGCAGACCTGGGTGGCCTTGCTAAGCGGAGCCCTCAGTGCGAAAGTAGGGTCTTGTTAGCCTTCCCCTCTCATCCCCGGACAGAGCCTTAAAGCCTCATTTGAAAGCAGTGATGACCCCCCCGAGCAGCAGGTATCATCATAGAGGTGCTAAGGGGGGGAGAGCGGCTGGGCCGTCCTAAGCAGCACCTTTTCAACAACCTTCTCTGAAAAGGAACCATTAGAAAGAAGTTGATAGATGACCTCTCAAAGAGGCCATCATCACAGCATGGACCCAACTACAAATCACCTTGGCTGACGTAACTATCCAGGAGGAAGCTGGGGCTAACAAACAGTGGCTAAGCTACCAGTAAAAGAAAATATTTGTAGCTCAGGTTGGTGCTAGGATCCTTGGTGCCCTCTGTGCTTGTTTTCTTGAAGATGTTTCATTACACAACCAGGTGGCATCAGTGCTAGTGGCTAAACTAACTGTACCAAGACCGCCCTCCGCTTCTCAAACTCATTACAGATAATAGCACCAATGCTCAATGTTTATTACACTTGTATGCCGCCCTATTCCCGAGGGACTCAGGGTGGCTAACAAACAAGGTGGGGAGGGGGGAAATACAAAAAAACAAACAAAGACAAAAAACAGCTTAAAAACAACACAAGTCGCAACAATTCAAGTGGGGTTGGGAACTCATCAGCCCCAGGCCTGCCGGAACAGCCAGGTCTTGATAGCTTCACGGAAAGCCTGAAGGGTGGTGAGGGTCCAACTGAGGACTAGGCACTTGCATCTGCCTAGAGTCCAGGTTAAAGCAGTTCTGACTGATTTGTACTAGCTATGTTCGCTTCCTGTTTTGGTGTGTAATGTTAGACAACGAGAATTGCTTTCTCTTCCTGTAAATTAATAAACACTTTTTTCTTCACTGCTGCGCAAGGCAAATTGTTTGTGGGAATCCACATTCATCTGCACTAGCAAGGCCAACCATAAGTAGGCCTATGCACCTGACTGCTGGGACATACCACGCTTCTCCAAAAATAGGACAGGGTCTTATTTATATATAAA